ACTTTGGAGGTCCCAAGTCGCAAGGTGGTTAGACTGGTCTCAACTAGGGTCAGGGCCTTTTCAGTACTGGCCCTGACTTGGTGGAACACTCTGTCACAAGAGACTAGGACCCTTCGGGACTTGACATCTTTCCGCAGGGCCTGCAAGACAGAGCTGTTCCGCCTGGCCTTTGGTTTGGACTTAGTCTGACCCTTATGTTTCCTTCCCCTTATGGTTTTGATCTATGGGCTACTATTAAAATGAGGCTGCATTTTAAATTGTATTTTTAACCTGTATTTTAAATTGGTTCTCCCCCCCCCTTATGTTTTTATTGTAATTTTACTGGTGTTAGCTGCCCTGAGCCTGGCTCTGGCAGGGGAGGGTGGGGTATAAATAAATTATTATTATCATTATTATCACTACCCTAAGGAGTCTCAAAGCAGCTCTCAATCTCCTTTCCCTTCCTCCCCCACAACAAACACTCTGTGAGGCTGAGAGACTTCAGAGAAGTGTGACTAGCCCAAGGTCACCCAGCAGCTGCATGTGGAGGAGCAGGGAAGCGAACCCGGTTCACCAGATTACAAGTCCATTACTCTTAACCACTACACTACACTATATACTTCTCCAACCAGACAGGTGAGCAAGAGGCACAGGACAAGCGCACACGGGACATGATCAGGACAAGGGCACATTCTAGCCAAGCAAAAGCACCCAAGGAAGTTGCAAAGTAGGGCCAGTGTGGGGTATGGCCTGGGCAAGAGCAGGGCCTGGGGATAGTCCCTCCACTCCTGGTCCTACATGACACGCACTGGGCTACCCATGAATCTTTGGCTTCCTCAGATTCAGATTATTTTATTCATTTCACTGGAGGCTGATCTTAAATACATTTTACTCTGATTTTTGTATTTGCATTTGGAGCGTGACAAGAGGGCTGTTTTGACCCTGAAAGGCATTTTAAAACTTCTAAATAAATAAGGACAGTTTTGTATCCCCCTCCCTTTCTGCTTTTCCATTGTTATCTTTTCAGCTTGTCTTTATTTTTTTGTCGCTCAGGACAATTTGATTCACTCTGGAAAAATAACAGCCCTTGTTGTAGCACCAACTTCAACCCAAGAATCACTACAGCCCTAATGCAACTAAATCTAATTTGGATTAATAGAATTAGAGATGCCTTTTAAATGCTTTAAATCTCCCTGACAGAGAGAGGGGGGGAAATGCTATCAAATTGACAGCAATGAATGCCAAAGCGTTTTAAATATTTCCTGCGTAGATTTCTTCTTCTTCTTATTATTATTTTAATAGATTTCCAAATGTTCCAAAAAGTATTTGATACTCTTCAACAAGGGGCTCAGGTATGTGGACTATGCGACATTGAGCGGTGCCCACAAACCAGCTGCAAAAGGAATGCTTCTTTTATTTTCAAGGGAAATGGCTGAGGCTGTTGCCATGCTTAATGAGCAGAGCGTTGTCCTTTGCAAAGCTGGAGAGAAGAATGCAAAGCAATCTTATCTCCACACTGACCAGCTAGGAAGAATTTGGAGAGGGAGCCATGCTTGCCCCTCTGGGGCAGCTTGTCTTGGCTGATGCACCAGGGAATCAGCTGAGGCGTCTCCAGCTCGAACAACAACATTGGACATTTTAGGGGTTCGCCTGTGATGCTGCCCAGGGAAACCAGCAAGGACCGAGACCTGGAAGAAAATGTATTTTTCATCTGGGCAGTGATACAGGGAGGGGCATTCCACCATACCAACCCTGTTTTTTTTCTCCAGAAGCAAGGGGCAGACTCTGCAAATGGCGGAAACCTCCCCATACCATGCATTCTCACCGCCCGCCTTGTTAGATAAATGGATGTCCACGTGGTGGGCATCTCTCCACTACAGAGCTGTCAGAAAATGGCAAGTACAGTGGTACCTTGGTTCTCAAATGCCTTGGTACTCAAACAACTTGGAACCCAAACACTGCAAACCCAGAAGTAAGTGTTCCAGTTTGCGAACTTTTGTTGGAATCCAAACATGCTCCGTTTTCAGTGTTACACTTCCAATTTGAGTGCCACGCTTCCGTTTGGAGCAGCCTTTCTCAACCTGTGGGTCCTCAGATGTTGTTGAACTACAACTCCCATCACCCCTAGCTTGCAAGGCCAGAGCTGAGGGATGATGGGAGTTGTAGTCCAACAACATCTGGGGACCTACAGGTTGAGAACCACTGGTTGGAGTGTTATGCTGAGGTCTGTCTGTTTTTGCTATTTATTTTGCGTTTTTGTGGCTCTTTTTGTTGTGGTTGTGTGTGTGTGTGTGTGTGTGTGGAACCCAGTTCAGCTACTGATTGATTGATTGTGTGACTGCAGTACATTGTTTACTGCTTTCATCTTATGAATCAATGGTCTCGTTAGATAGTAAAAATCACGTTAAATTGCTACTTTAGGGGTTTTAAAAAGTCTGGAACAGATGAATCCATTTTGCATTTATTTCTATGGGGAAGCATGCCTTGGCTTTGGAACGCTTTGGTTTTGGAACGGACTTCCGGAACGGATTAAGTTTGAGAACCAAGGTACCACTGTACAGATGACTGTTGTAGCTTAGGTTATGTGCCAGTTGAGCATCTGGTGAAAACCCAAAGCCAGCCACATAATGGTTATACTCAGGCTTGCTTGTCGTGTCAAGAATGGGCTTGCAGAGGAGACTTTGATGCACCAGCAGTGCATGTGTGGGCCTGGGGTTGCCCAGTGCACAAGCCCTCCAGGATGGAACCATGCTGCCATTCGCTGCATGCGGGTAGGAAACTTGGCAAATGAAGGAAGTGATTATTTTGCAGCTGATTAGGGGTTCTTTCCCCACAAGTCTAATTTATTTTTAATGATTGGGGGAAATCCTTCACCGAAGAGCTTTCTTTTTCCCTGTTTCAGAGCGAGAGGTGGAAAGCTTTTGCCAGATAGCATTCCCCCCCCCCTTCCTTCCGAGCACCTATCCAGTTGCACAATCTGGCTATTAGCTTTGCCGCTTTATGGTGAGTGAAAGAGATTGCAAAGCAGCAACGCTAGATGAAGAGATACATTCTATGTAACACCTGCAACCCCAAATGTGGCTTGCTAGTTCAAATCTATGTGTGAAACTGAGTGTGCACATCTGCACACAGAGAGATTGCCTCTTTGGTCTTTTTTAGCCCACAGTTTTCCCATGTCTGCCGTTTCTCTTTCTGGGAATATCACACTGCTTATCTCTAGGTTCTACTGATGTTTCACCCCAGTGCACCTTTCACGTAGGCCTCCCTTTTTCAGCACCACATATTTTCTATTCCTCTTTCCCTCCTGTTCTTGCCTCCTCCACTTCTTCTGTACTTCAATTCCTGCTTTCAGTTGCTCTGTCCATTGGCTCCCTTTCCCAGCATCCAGCCTCCTTTTCTTCCCTTACTTCCGTATGCCTCCCATCCAAACTCAAGTTTCACTTCCCTCATATAAGCAGCACCGCCTAGCAAATGTTCTATTGCTGCTGTTTCTGTGATGAGGACTTAGAATGGGTTTGCAAATATAAGGAGAAGAGCTCCCACCTTCCATGTGAGGTAGATCTGGCTGAGAAGTACTGCCTACTTAAGTTACCAGCAACTGCCCCCACCCATATTATTCAAACACCTGTAATCTGGGCGTATGAGGACTGAGACCTGCAATATTTACTTGTGGAGAAGAGACAGGCTTTAGCAAGCTCCTTTTAACTCCCCTAAGGTAGCTTCAGGATGAGCAGCCCAGTGAAATGGGTGAGATCAATCCTGTGATCTAGCAACATTAGTCAGCTTTAGACTTGTAATTCCAGATTTTATTAAATGAGTGAAGATGAGTGAGCAGGAGTGAGAAGCGTGGAAGAAAGAGGAAAAACAGTGAGTAATTTCTAGCTAACGTAGACTATTATCATCTCTAAGTTAGTTTCAGCAACTAACATAAAACACAGCATTCTTGGCACATGCAAGGCCTGTTTTGAGGTTGAAGCGAACAAGCAGAATTATCCAGGACAGAGGGAAGAATCTTTGGGCAGAGTTGGGCATTTCAACAGGGACAGAAGGGATAGGACTCAGCTTTCTGAAATCTTGCTTGCCTTCTGCACAGCAAGCCAGCCATGAAACTGCAGCAGCCTATCTAGTGGCTAGGGAGGCTTGCCAGTGACAAGCAGCCAGTGTTTTGACTGCCTTTCCAACAAGATGTCTTGGAAGCTATAGGCATATCTGCAGAGTAACTTGTTTCTTGGGGTTTCTGAGAGGGAAGAGAAAGAGTTAAATGAATTTGTGTTAATAGTGCAGACATGCCTTTTCCCCTCTGCCAGCATTCAAAGGGCTGGTCCTGACATGATGCCATTTTTCTCCACGGTAACGCTTTGAAATGATTCCCGTGGAGACATTCAGATGGAAAACATGAGTAACCGTTCATGTAGATTTCTTAGGATAAGAGCTAGAAGCAAGATACCAGGTTCACGGTGGCTGCTGCGCACAGGATTTCTAGTCCTGCTCTGGAACTATATATTATTGCTGAGATATTGCTGCTGCTAAATACCATGGACCTGTGTCGCTTCATTCTGTCTGCTTGTAAATGCAAAATGTCACTGCATTGCAAGTTCCCCTTTCCATCACTCTCACTGATTGGCTGCTGCTTATAGGGGCATGGAACCCTAGGCACAATGATGCCATGACAAACATTTTGCTGTTGTAAATGTCACTGAGTGAATATGTGGCATTGTTGGAAAGCCACTCATGAATGACTGCATGGAAGAGCGCAGAGGGGAACAATGCAGTGGTGCATCTGCAGCAGTGCAACCGGACGCCTTCATCTGCAACCCCGGCTGCAACAAAACATGTCTCCTCCGTATCGGTGTCTACAGCTGCAACCTTCCAACAGTTTGACTTCACTCCCAAAGGCCCACACCTCCATTGTCTCCCGAGACAGAAGGACGGTAGCTTTGGGGGCAGCACATGGCTTGCACAATGTTGCAGACAGATGCTTTGCATTGTCTATTCTTTGGATTTTTTTATTTTTTTTACAGTTTCTACAACTGGGACAGGAATATCTGCTGCTTGAATTCAAGTCCAAATTACCAAGTGATTGCAGAAAATGTGTGCGGCCTCCTCTTCAAGAACAAGTCTGACAGGAAGGTCATCAATGTTGACCCCAAGGTAGCATTGTCACTTTTGTCATTTCCCTGAGACAACAGGCCTGTCTGTGTCAAACATCCATGCTTTTATTTTTACTACTCATTTCACGGATCAAGGGGCAATGTATGGGTCTGGCACTTGTCCTGTTGAGAAGTGATGTTCCATCATGAAGGACGTTTCTTATATTAGTTGGATATATGATGTTCTTCAAATGGGACATCTTGTAAATGCAGCCAAGGTAGAAACAATAATGTAAGCCATCGCATGAACATATGAATCTTAAGTACTGCTGAATCAAGGTCCATGTACTTTGGTTCTATCTGAAAGCAACAGATCTCATTGTCGGTAGGTCTTCCTGTAAAGCTGTAGGCCTCACAAGATGGAAATGTCATCTTTTAATTCTTTTTGAATGAGACTTTTTTCCCATGGATGACAGCAGTGGGCCTCAGTTTCATTAAGCATAAGGCATATCTAGAGAAACATCTTAAACTCCCCAGATTCCCTTGGGCACTTCCTTATGTAATAGTGCAGTAATAATAGTTCAGTAATCCTGTGCAGAAACTGGGTGCACCTGCAGTCTTAGAGGCAACAACCAACCTACACAAAGCCAGCAGCACTTCTCCTTTGCTTATTGCACTCTCTGGGAGCTTGTGATCAGGAGCTCGTGAACAGGACTTGCAAACAGGGGCATTTGAAGGAAGAAGGAGAATTGGAGGGATTGGAATTGGAAGAGACTGAAGAGAGTGAGATTGTGTCTTTTGGAATAAGGTTGCTTGCTTGTCTGAGCTGTTTGGAGACTTGATTGTGAGTTTGTTTGTGGTTGTGGTCATGTGACAGCACATGGTCTGAAGGAGAGGGGCTGCTGCTGAAAGGAAGGAAGGCAGACTGAATGAGAAAGCGAGTTGAGCCAGCAGCAGGTCTACTTAGCTTCTTGCAGTCTCCAGGAGCTCATGACCAGGGCTACCTGGTATTCCCAGGTAGTGCTGGGAACAATTCCTCCTTGAAACTGTGAAGTACCACAGCCTGTCAGTGTAGACAATATAATGGTCTGTCTCAGTATAAGGCAACTTCCTATATTCCTATTTTATGGGTAGGTTCAAGGCCAAGGCCACTGAGATAATGTATGGGTCCCTCAGCAAGCATTGGGAAACTGGTCTCCTATGTTGCTCCCTTAGCACCAAAAAGTGTTGCTAAGAGGACTTAGAATCATAGAATTGTAGGGCAGGAAGGGACCCTGAGGTTAATTTAGTCCAATCCTCTGCAATGCAAACTTGGCCCTCCAGCTGTTTTGGGACTACAATTCCAATCATCCCTGACCACTGGTCCTGTTAACTAGGGATGATGGGAGTTGTAGTCCAAAAACAGCTGGAGGGCCGAGTTTGCATTGCACTGCCCTATGGGGATCGAACCTGCAACCTTGGCATTATCGGCACCACGCTGTAGCCAACTGAGCTATCCAGAGTCATTACACCTCTTAAAACAAGCTACATACAAACCCACACTGGTTGTGCCCTCCTTACCCCACTGCAATGGCTCTATTTCAAGGCATTTCTCTTTCTCAAATAACCACATTTGACAAGCTGATTTTTCACTGTCTTCCACTTACTCCAGGTTACGACACCAAAACAGTTAAATGCTACATTACCTTCTTTTTACAAATTGGTTTAAATATTTTCAAAGAGTGTGCGTGGAATGTGCGGGGGGGGGGGACTTAGGAAATCAGTTCCATATACTCCTGTTCCAAGTGAATAGTATGCAATTTACAATTCTGTCACTGCAGGGGGTGGTGTGCCCCATTTCATCACTTAAGTCGAAACAAAAAGGTGCCATCCCACTTTGCCCCCACATCGAAGCCTCCCTTACCTGGGTTGCAAAGCAGCAGCAGCAGCAGGTTCTGATGAAATCTTGCAAAGCACATGAGATCTTACATGAGTCCTACATTGGACTGACCCAAGATTACACAGTGCGCTCTGTGCACTGGATTTCAGGCAATCCCCCCACTCCAGTAAAACAGCAGAGAAAAATGGACAAATGGCCGTGATTCAAACAAAGGTAAGCATTTTACGTCCCTTCGATTCCATTTGAAGAGAGGTAATAAAATGCTTACACCTTTCTGATTGAAATAAATGGGACTTAAAATACTGGGATTTGTTTGAATCATATTCCTTTTTCCATTGGTTCTTTGCTGTCTTGGTTAGAGAGTTCCGTTATGAACAATGGCCCTCTGTTGTGATCTGAGTGTGTCCATCTGCAGTGATCTGAGTGAGTCCATCTGTTCTTCATTGTCCCTTTAAAAATGTTGCATCTTAAGTCCTTGGACTATAGATTGAATATGGCAAACACACCCATGCTTTGGTTCCTCTCAAAACCAACGCAGAGTAAGCCGGGCAGTAATTTGTTTGGGTTTGCACAGAACAGCTCTCGGATGAGGGTTTCTTTGAAGTACTTCCCACGAAAGCTGGTTGCATATGAATAGCAACGGGACCAAATATCAAATTATACACATCTTAAAATGGGAGTGTGTTGGTTTGCAAGACATTTAAAAATGCATACCTAAAAAGAAGTGTATTTGGTTGCATTCAAAGTGGGTCACTGGTCTAACTTCCTGCAGCTGTGGAACATCTGTAACAAATAAGCAGATACCCTATTGCTGTGTGAAATATATACTTTTAAGAATTGAGGACCAAATCAAGCACAGAGGGGGTTTCGGCTCTTTAAAGCCGTACACATTGCATTTCTAGCTTCCTTGTGTGTCTCTACTGCACAGAGGCATAAATACCCATGAAAATGGTCAAAATTGGATTCCTACATTGGAGTGTGTAATGGGCCGGGGAGGCTGAATTCCACAAAATGGATTTGTGAGACAAAGAATCACCACCCACTCAGGACCTATGGGACAATATGGAGGACTGGTAGTTTTGGGAGGTGATGCCTTTCCCCCCATAAAATCTAATGGAGACATTGAATGGAAAAAAATATTTAGAAATGGTTGCTCCTCCAAATTAACCCTTCTCTACCAAGCCAGCTACTAGGGACGCAGGTGGCACTGTGGGTTAAACCACAGAGCCAAAGATGTGCTGATCAGAAGGTCGGCGGTTTGAATCCCCGCGACAGGGGGAGCTCCCATTGCTCGGTCTCTGCTCCTGCCAACCTAGCAGTTCGAAAGCATGTCAAAGTGCAAGTAGAGAAATAGGTACCGCTCCGGCAGGAAGGTAAACAGCTTTTCCGTGCGCTGCTTGGTTCACCAGAAGTGGCTTAGTCATGCTGGCCACATGACCCGGAAGCTGTACGCCGGCTCCCTCGGCCAATAAAGCGAGATGAGCGCTGCAACCCCAGAGTCGTCCGCAACTGGACCTAATGGTCAAGGGTACCTTTACCTTTACCAAGCCAGCTATGTGATGCTTACTAGAGAGGATAGAAGACAGCAGGTTGTAAACAGGGAGGCTGCAATACCCTCAAAGTGTGGACAATCGGCTCTCATTCCACTTGTAGCAGACAGCAGAATGAGTGTGTAGCACTTGGGGCCCCTTGACAGCTGCCTGCCCAACTTCCTAGCTATTATGCATCCAGGTAAAGGTAAAGGTACCCCTGACCGTTAGGTCCAGTCGCAGATGACTCTGGGGTTGTGCGCTCATCTCACTCTATAGGCCAAGGGAGCCAGCGTTTGTCCGCAGACAGCTTCCAGGTCATGTGGCCAGCATGACTAAGCCGCTTCTGGTGAACCAGAGCAGCACACGGAAACACCGTTTACCTTCCCACTGGAGCGGTACCTATTTATCTACTTGCACTTGACGTGCTTTCAAACTCCTAGGTGGGCAGGAGCTAGGACAGAACAACGGGAGCTCACCCCATCACGGGGATTTGAACTGCCGACTTTCTGATCGACAAGCCCTAGGCTCTGTGGTTTAGACCACAGTGCCACCCGCGTCCCTTATGCATCCAGAAGCTATTGCAAATCAAACATTGCTCCTGGCTAGGCATTCCATGCAAATTGGGCCTTTCACAAGATCAAGCTCTCAAGGTAGACTTTGGAACAGAGGGCCAAAGTTGGCATGTTACGTGATGCATGTCATTGTGAGCTGGCAGTATTCCAGTGGTGCATAACCTCCCAGGATCTCATGCCACACAGATCGCAATGGTGTGAACTGAAAACATGTTTGATTTGAGTTTCTGGTTTCTTTCTCGCCCTTGTTCCATCCTCAGGCTTATCCAGGGGACAACACAACACGGACTCCAATCGAAACGGACCTCTACCTACAGGTGGTCATTTATGATCATGTCCTCAGAAGAAAGCTCTAAACATCATTTCTGACGAGGAATAAATACACTGGAAGAAGTCTTTAATATGTATACCAGAGGTGGAGAGAGAGAGAGAGAGAGAGAGAGAGAGAGAGAGAGAGAGAGAGAGTAGTTTATTCCAAGGACTAAATAGTCAAGGGTGCCTTAGGCTGTTAAGGAACAGTTACCAAATAGCACTTTTCCTGAGGTTGTTTATTAAAGAGATTTTGCCTTTGTTTTCCTATCTGCATAAGAGTGCTTTAAATCATTTTAGAACCCTGAAATACAGCACCCCTTTAGAAACGTGTGTTAACTCTGTGCACAGTTACTTCTAATTACTTTTTAAACCACAGAATGCCTTCCACATTAGGGCTTTGTAAATGCCATTAAAGGGGAAGGAATGACAGGATCACACACCTCTGGAAATGTGTGCAGGTTTGGGGGAATGCAACTTTTGGTGATGCATCAAATGTGGTGTGAATCAGAACAGGAGGAGGTGAAACTGAATTAACAAAATAAGATAGGGCAGGAAGGGGTGGGAAGAGAGCTCTGCACTTAATGATATTCACTAAATGAGTGCCCTGGAAACTCAATGCCAAACTTCAAGTGATTTTACATGTGTCACCTTGGAGATGGGTGGATCCTTTAAAGCAGGGCTTGCACAGCCTGTGGGCCTTGAGACTTGGCTGCACTACAATGTCCATCGCCTCTGACTGGCTGGGTTGCTGGAGTCTAGCCAAATATGGCCCACAGGTTGGCCACTGGTGCTTTGAAAACTGTAAATCAGAGGGGCTAGGCAGCCAGCTTAGGTAACTCATTCCTTTCATGCTGTGGTCCCTCTCCTTCCCACCCCACTCAACAAAAGACAGTTGGAAGGGGAACTCACAGATTGCACTTGGAAATGCTAACTGAGAATTAATTTAATCAGTGACAACTTACTACAGTTTGAATGCTGGGGGGAAATTTGGTACCTTGGCTCCCACACAGCAAATCATTTGACTATAGAGTTGGAAGGGACCCTGAGAATAATCTAGTCCAGGCATGTCCAACTCCCAAGAGACTGAGATCTACTCCCAGTATTAAAAAAAAACTGGCACTGATCTACCCATTGTCATTGGAGGGAGTGGGTGTGTGCGTGGGGTGGGTGGGTGGATTACCCAGAGCTGTTGAGCTTTTTTAAAGGTGGGAAGTGCCCAGACCTTTTTGGGGGGAGGATTGCACAGAATTTTTTAGCTTCCCCCCGCCCATATTTTTTTGTAACCAAAAAGGATCCCGCAATCTACCAGGATCAGCCAGGGATCTACCGGTAGATCGCGATCTACTGGTTGGACATCCCTGCTCTAGTCCAACCCCGCACAAAGCAATGCAGAAATATGCCACTGTCCCATATAGGGATCAAACCTGTGACCCTGGCATTATCAGCACCCTGCTGTAACCAAGTGAGCTAGAGCAGCTCTGTGTGGAAACGCCCCCAGTGTGGTCCTACCACTTGCATGGCAAGCTAGACTATTAAACGCAAGATTTCTCCCTGCCTTCCCTGCTTCCTTTCTCCTTGATATAGGGTCTCACGCCTCACCCAGAAGCCCAGGAAACTGGATCTTTGCATCTCGAAAGGAACAGTTCCCTTGTCAGTTTGCAAATCTCTAATTAAAAGTACCCACCTAGAAAAATGCGTCTCTTCCTGCAGGTGGGGGGCAGGTGATGCTACGGGCCAAACGCTCGCAGGGAGGGCTGGGAGGATCCAGCTTGGGAATGAGCAAAGAGCCAAAGAAATCACAGAGCAGAACAGCTCCAGGGGAAGGGCTACTGTCAATAAGCCCATAAAGAGGACACCCAAAGGGAGGGCTGGGATGTCTCCCAGTGAGTAGTTAAGTGCTGTGCTGCTTAAGAGGCGCTTGAATGGAAGCAGGCTCATTAACAGGTGGGCACAGCTCCAGCAACATAGCAAGATCTAGGCCACGCGGGAGGAGCCCAAGACATGGTTCCTTCTCTTGCCAGGATCGTCTCTGCTCCCAGGAAGGGCAAGGGAAGGAAGCAAATTGTGAGCAAGAGATGAGGGTGAAACCAGAGGGGCATGTGTTTCTGTGTCTCCCCCACCACTAAGGTAGCCTTGGGTTTGACTACTTACCTGATGGCCACGGGCAACCAGGAATTCCATGCAGGTGAGTGAGGAGGCTGAAGGAAGAGGGACAGGGTGCCCCTTTCTTCCTCCAGCAGTCCACTTGCTTTCCATGTGAGCCACAGGAGAAGGAAAGCCTTTTCCCAGTGACCATTGTGGAAATCCCTAGGTGTGGCTCTGTCCCCTCCGCCAGTCCCCTCGGTAGAAGAAGAAGAGTTTGGATTTGATATCCCGCTTTATCACTACCCGAAGGATAGTCTCAAAGCAGCTAACATTCTCCTTTCCCTTCCTCCCCCACAACAAACACTCTGTGAGGTGAGTGGGGCTGAGAGACTTCAAAGAAATGTGACTAGCGCAAGGTCACCCAGCAGCTGTATGTAGAGGAGCAGAGACACGAACCCAGTGCACCAGATTATGAGTTTACCGCTCTTAACCACTACACCACACTGGCTCTCCAGAAAAGAAGGCTTTTACTAGTCTGACAAGAGGCTAGGAGCAGGATTCCACCCCCAAACACACACCTCTTTCCACAGCCAGCATGGACATCCTGGCTACAGCCTCAGTGCAAGCTGTATTTGTGGATTTGTTTATAACGCAGTGCGAATGAGACATCAGGAGGGGGTTGGTGCAGAAATGCTCAATGCCTGTATGCTCACTGCAGTCACCATGCAAAGGCTGCTTAGAGGAGATGTTGTCATGTGGCAGGCCAAGTATGTGCAGCAGCTCTCTATGTGGATCACATAATTTATTCGTGCCCCCCAAAAGATTGGCCATTTGCCACAGCATGGGGAAAACAGTCGGTTGCATATAATGAACGGCTGTACATGAATAGGGGTTGTGTTTGCATTGCACCTGGAGGAAGGAAGCTGCTCCATTTGTGAGTGAGGAAGAGCTTTCAAGGTGTGAATGGTTGGTCTTTCTCAGAGAATGTGCGGGGAGTTTTGTTCACCTCTTCAGACTTCGCTTTGCCTGTTTTCCTGCCTTCCATTTAACCAAGTGCCCAAGTGGTTCTTGCCCATAGGCAGAGTTTAAGGTTGCAACCAGAGGGGAGAGGAAGGGAAACAGAGAGATCAGCTTCCCCTGATTCTGTTTGGTGGAATTTAATAGCATGGAGGTCACCAAATGAATGCTCAGACAACTGCTTTGGTGAGGCCCATTGATGGAAGACCGAAAGGAGAAGACGTAGCAGAAGGCTAAAAGGAAATATGATGAGGGTGAGTTTTCTTCATTTGCCTGGACTAATACCTGTGAAGCGCTACTAAATTAATTCTCTGCTAATCTAGGTTCAATAAATCTTGGGATTCAAGAGATATTTTTAGATGATTAATTGAAGAATGATTTGATTCTGGACTTGGAGTCATGTTATATAGCTGGGGGAAGTGGTTTGGTATATATTCACAATGAATACTTGGAATACGACTATAAGTTCCTGCAAGGTTTAAGCAAGTTGGTAATAAGGAAATTCAATCTCCAGGCCAATGTGTGCACAAGGCTGGGCTCCATTGCTGGGTTTTTGTGAGCTTACTTGCTGGTGGGCAAGAATGAGCACCTTGACCTAGCCACCATTACAATTTCCAGCAATGCCCCCCAACTCACTCTGAGAAACTGAAATAGTGCCCAGCCCCTGTCAGCCAGCATTGTTCAGAGCATTTAGCCAGAAAACATAATGTAAAGGTGGGCACAAGCACCAGTGGCAGGTTCCATGGGGAAGCTGGAGCCTAACCTTGACAACTGTCCAAAGATTCCAGGTGCTGGCTGGGTAGGGACAGTAGCTCCATGAGCAGGATTGCTCCCTAAGTGATGAAATACAGTATATTAAGCTTTCAGTTTTTAAGATGGTTATCTGCTGAACATTCGGTTCAGCGGTTAAACTAGAGGTTATCCAAACCATGGATGGTAATTTGAAACCATCACTTGAAGAATGCCCAACCTTGGTTTGAAGGCACTTCTAGTTAGCATTAACCATAGTTTACCCAGTCCAGATGTCCTGGATAAACCAGTATGCAAGATGCCTTTGACATGTTATCACTCCTCCGAACCATAGTTTAAAGAATTGCTGACATGGAATCTGAAGAGACTCTGAGTATGCTGCAGTTAATTAGGGCATATGAAAATACACTGTAATCAGTTTGCATGGATTAACTAGATTTTAATATTCTTGTTTAATATATGTTATTCATTTGGACTGCTGTGGTGTTTAAAATAAAATAATTAGATTGGTTAAAACAGATCTTATTCTTTACAAGTTTAATATGGTTGGATTGATATATTATCAGTTTGTCTAGAAATAGTAAATTAATTGCATTTGGAGAATTAATGTGCATTTAAATGGTAAAGTCAGCTGTTGTCTGTTGTCATAAACTGTTCAACCTTTATAATAAGAAATGCTTATGTGGGCATTGTATATATATTTTTCTTCTCTTAGAAAGCAGCTTAATAAAATCACTTCCATTCCTACTTTATACTTAAAAACTTGATTCTCTTTTAAAAAAACAACTTAAAAGTGTATTCCAAAATTCTCTGTTATCTATATCTATAAAACTAATTAACAGTACTAACTGTAAAATGTAAACAAGGCTATTGGTATTGGCTCAACTCATACAATCAAGTTTCTGAATGTCCAGTTCCCCAATACTAAGTGGCTTCATACATTATGAAAACTAGCACACAGCAGAAAGACAAACTGTAATGTGAGAGAGCTGTTCACATACATTCTTCTTTTTTTAAACCATGCGGTCCTGAGGACCCCAAACCAACTGTGGTTTCCAATAGTATATATATCGCTACAGGAAATGTTGTGGGTACACTCTACTATTCTTGTAACACAAACTCCCTGCAAAATCATAGAAACTGGAGGAACAGGAAGTCATCAGGTCCACTCCACTGACGTATATCAGAATAC